CCGTGTGGTTGGGGGGCGGGGGCGCGGGGCAGTGGGCGGGGCCATGTGTCTGCGGGGCAGAGTCTCGGGGCAGTGGGCGGAGCCGTGTGTCTGAGCGCGCTCAGTGCGGTTCAGCGTCGCTGCATTTGGCGGGTTTGCGATGAGACGTCTCTCACTCCAGCTCTCGCTCTCTCTGCTGCTCGCGCTCCAGATCCTCCTCCTGCTTGTGCTGCTGCAGCTTCAGCGCTCGCTTCTACACGCATCACAGGAACAGACCACACCGACGTCAACATCCACCATCACTGCTAGTGAATGGGTGCCGTCAGAATGAGAGTCCAAACAGTTGATAAAAACATCACAATAATCCACAGCACTCCAGTCCATCAGTTAACATCTGGAGAAGACAAAAACTGAAACTAATCCAGCATTGAGTCCATAATCCATAATAACGCTTCCTCCAGTGAAAAAGTGCTGATTTCTCTCCTGATTCACACCAGAACACTTTTTCACTGGAGGAAGCGTTATTATGGATTATGGACTCAATGCTGGATTAGTTTCAGTTTTTGTCTTCTCCAGATGTTAACTGATGGACTGGAGTGCTGTGATTACTTGTGGATTATTGTGATGTTTTTATCAGCTGTTTGGACTCTCATTCTGACGGCACCCATTCCCTGCAGAGCATCCATTGGTCTAAAAGGAGTCTGATGTGTGCGTGACCGGTTGTTGTTTGCAAACAAAGCAGCGTGTTCTCATCTACAGACGTGTTCAGTCGTGTCTGAATTCATGAACACAAACAGCGTTGCAGCTTGAAGCTGAATCTTGTGTTTCAAATGCAAATGTCTGTCTTTAGACTGTTTTTCAGCAGATTCTGGATCTTTTATGAAGAGGCCGAACGCTCTCATAATCAAAAACATGAATTCCAAAAGCGTTACTGGCCTCGGGCAGTGCATGCTGGGAAATAACGGCGCTTCTCAACACTTAATGCACTGGAATCTCGTGATTTTGGCATTAAGGCAGAATTTAAGATGCGTGAGATTTTAAAAACATGAATTACAGAAATTAGGAATCATTGCGGTGTTTGTTCTAAACAACCCGTAACGCTGATCTGTCAGACGAGAGCCACTGTGAAACATTCACTCTTCTGCAATGATCTATCACAGCTGTTTGTGTTGCTATAGTCAGCGTGGGTTAAACTGTCTGACGAGAGCTGTGCTCTGACTTCACTAGGACATCTGACTGCGAAAACACTCAAAACACCCTAGCAACCGCACAGCAGAACCCCGGCAACCAGCCACAACAGCACAGCATTTGACAGGTCTGTTCTTCTGTCCAGTGCACAGAATCTGAGGAGTTCTGGAAAGCCCCTCGGTCTGGTTCTGAGTGCAGGAGAGAGAGAGAGAGAGAGAGAGATGGAGAGAGAGAGACAGAGAAGATGGAGAGAGAGAGAGGTGTGAGATGACGTCAGCCTCCTCCACCCAAAGTCACACACAACACGAATCATAGCTTCGATCTGGAAGCACTTCTTCTGTCTGACTGTCAGATTTTACAGCAGTCTGAGTCTCTCTGCATGTTTCATGTTTTTTCTGACTTCAGATCTGTGCCAGCTTTGTTCTCCTGGAGCTTCAGTCTGCGCTCAGACAAGAGCGCCACCTTCTGACTGCAAGTGTTTCAACTATTTTAACCAAGTTTGAGATCGAAACGGACCCCGTTTACTTTCTCAATACACACACCTGCTCGTATCAGTGACATTATTCTAAAGAAATATAATCTAAACTTGCTCCACCTCTGCTAGCATCGTCTAGACTCCATAGCTTCTCATGAAGACATAAATCTTTATTAACTGAAATAAAGCTGAAATAACATATAAATATTAGATTCAAATCTAAACAAAAATTTGAAATGCTGCCTTGGAAATAAGCTTAAAGGGATAGTTCACCCAAAAATGAAAATGTGATGTTTATCTGCTTAATCCTGAAAAACTTTTTCATTCACCATCTCTGAAATGGACCATTGACACTCTATCTACAATCTCAAGTAGGAGTGTCAATGGTCCATTTGAGAGATAGGTGGCGGTAATGCACTTACAAGTCTGCGATCCGCCGTAAAGCAAGAAGACGACGACACGAACACGTTCAGGACAGTTCAGACATTGCAGTGCATCAGAGGTAAAAAACGATACAAATACTGTTCAGTTTCTTGGACAGACTGATCGTTTCATGTCTTTACACATCAATGTATCGTCACGAGCCGCTGGGTTTAATTTGATTTTGTTTGTGTGTGTTTTTTTACTCTCAAAGCCGTGATTCCCATCCACTTCCATTATATGACTGACAGACTGCAACGAGTCTAAACGGAGTTAAAAATCTCAGTTTGTGTTCTACTGAAGAAACAAAGTCACCTACATCTGAGATGCCCTGCGGGTAAGCAGATAAACATCGCATTCTCATTTTGGGTGAACTATCCCTTTAAGGGTGAAATAAGTTATAATTAAATTAAAATAAATTAAACCTAAATAGTGATATTTAATAATAAAAATGACAAAAGCACACAAAAAATTTACCTAAAATTAAAACGAAAACAGAAAATATGAAAATTAAAGCTAATAAAAATATTAGTAAAAACTATAATAGTATCTAAATAATACTAAAAATGGATTAAAAATGTCTGCTGTAATGACAAAACTTTTGGCAACCAAGTCAAATCATCTTATAAAATAATTACATTCTTTAATTCAACAGAAAGTGAATGTTCTTCAGGATTCACTCAGTTAAAGAGCTATGAATTTACGCGAGTTTTCCAGTAGTTTGTGATCACAGGCTTATTTTCTAAACTGTTTGTTACTCAGAAATGGCAGTTTCTCCCCAATAAAATACATAAAACTCACAATATATCCAGAGGACAACCCTGGTTCTTAATAATATAAAAGGGATAGTTCTGTGCCCAGTTGCATAAAGCACCTTCAGTTTTTCCCTTACGTATGAGACTTAAGGCGTGATTTCCCCTTACCTAAGGGAATGACTTAAAGATGTCATATGATGCGATTTCAAGTTGTCCTTTCTCTTTGGAGTGTTACAAGCTCTTGGTGCATAAAGAAGATCTGTAAAGTTGCAAAGACTAAAGTCTCAAATCCAAAGAGATATTCTTTATAAAAGTTAAGACTTGTCCACGCCCTCCTAAAACGGCTCGTTCTAACACGCCCCCACATGTCTACGTCACTATGTGGGAAGATTTGCATAACGCCGCCCAAATGTTCACGCAAAGAAAGAAGGCGTAACTTTTATTCTCCCTGTAGTATTGTTGCTGCCGTCATGTCGTGAAGACGCTGTGTGCTTCGTTGTGAAAGAGAAACTACTTTGTTTGGTCTTCCAAAAGAGGACACGACTAGAAATCAGTGGTTAAGTTGTATTTACATCACTGTTCCAGAACACTTCAACCCAAATATTCAGATGTGTGCAGCACATTTTATGGAGGACTGTGTCCTGATCCTGGGAGAGTAGACTACAATGTTCTGTTCTGACTCACAGACTGTAAGTACGTTTTTTATATTTAAAGAGCTTGTCACTGATGAATCAAACGTGAGTTTTGAGCAGTGTAGAGTAGCACTTGTTGTTTGGCATTTCTCCGA